TGAATGTGTGCCCAAGACCCTGCCTCTGTCATGAGGACAGTGAATTAGAGAACAAGGTGCCCAGCTGGGCAGCCCAGAGGCTGTACAGACTGACATTATGGGATTAAAGATATCTTTAAAACCATCACAGGAGGCCAGGTGCAATGGCTCACGCCTGTAATCTCAGCACTTTGAGAGGCTGAAATGGGAGGATCCCTTGAGCCCAAGAGGTCAAGGCTGGAGTGAGCCATGATCACGCCATTGCACTCTAGCCTGGGAACAAGAGACCCTGTCTCAAACACAGACCATCACAGGAGAAGAAAATATTGGGGTTCAGGACACAGCACCCCCAAAATACGACTGTAGGAGACCAGATATATATCACCCCAAATTATACTTCTTTGGAATATTTTGAGCTGGTTATTCTGAGAAACTGCAAACACAACAGGTGTATCTCTGAAAAGCTGCCCTTTGCAAAATAAATTTATGTCATGAAGGAAATCTACATTAGTACAAGTCTCTGTACCAGGAGGAGACAACTTTTATTACCTGAGAGACTTATATCTGCATAAAAAGATGACCTTTATTTGCCATGCATTTCCTCCCCTCACCATTCCATTACTAGTCTCTACCTACCCCAGAAGCCCCAAGCCCCTAATCCTTATATAGCTCAGGATGCTATATAGGGTTTAGTCGTCTGGTCCTTCTTCAAGTGTCTTGTTTTGTGGGACTCTGTTGCATATACACATAATTAAAAGTTTTCCTCCCGTTGGTCTCAATTTGAAACCCAACCAAAGAACCCAGAAGGGTGGAGGGAAGCATTTTACCCTCCCCAACTGAAACCAAATATGCACCAAATATAAGACAAAATGCAGATGGTGTGAAGATCTTCAACCTGCAAGCATTTTTGCAATCAGAAGGGAAAAGCACGAGTTGAAAGTGAAGGTCAAGTCTTTAGCAGAAACTTAAGAAATAGAGTGGTTAGCCAGGCGTGGTGGCTCACGCCTATAATCCCAACACTTTGGGAGGCTGAGGCAGGTGGATTACTTGAGGTCAGGAGTTCAAGACCAGCCTGGCCAACATGGTGAAACCCCGTCTCTACTAAAAATATAAAACTTAGCCAGGCGTGGTGTCACACACGTAGTCCCAGCTACTCGGGAGGCTGAGGGAGGAGAATCGCTTGAACCTGGCAGGTGGAGGTTGCAGTGAGCTCAGATCATGACACTGCACTCCAGCCTGGGTGACAGAGCAAGACTCAGTCTCACAGAATAAATAAACAAAATGATAAAAATGACAGTAGGATTTGCACTTTGGGAGGCCGAGGCTGGTGGATCCCTTGAGGTCAGGAGTTCAAGACCAGCCTGCTAACATGATGACACCCCATCTTTACCAAAAACACAAAAATTAGCCAGGCATGGTGGTGGATGCCTGTAATCCCAGCTACTCAGGAGGCTGAGATAGGAGAATCACTCGAACCCAGGAGGCAAGGTTGCAGTGAGCCAAGATTAAGCCACTGCACTCCAGCCTGGGCGACAGAGTGAGACTCCATCTAAAAAAAAAAAAAAAAAAAAAAATTGACAGCAGGGAGGTGAAACTTTAGCCACATGGCAGAAGCACTGGCTACACAATGAACCAACAGTCTTCAAGAACTGAGGAAAATTTTGCTTTTTAAATCAAATCTGTATTATTTTCCATGAGGAAGAGCTTATGAGAATTACTTGAATACTTTCTGTGTATTCAAGGGAGGGAGAGAGTGGGACTGGGGTGAAAAACACAACTTGAAGAAACAGGCTTAAGAAATGCTCACCGTGGACCCAAAATGAACTGAAGTGGAGGTTTCTGACTTAACAAAGGACCCTCACACCCCGACGTTCCAAACTCGGCCTTGGCAGAGGCCCAGGAAGACCAGTGGGCTGGTCCCGGACATTCATGGAACACGCAGGTTCAATGTGTTCCACGAGGAGGCGCCTGTTGCTAGCCCCGCTTTGCAGATTCAGACCCTGATCCTGGCAGTGCTGCCTGAGCCCATGTTGGTAGTGGGTGAGTTTGCAGCGCTGTCTGGTGTCTGGCCCCAGCAGGGGACCACTGCCCCACCCTGCCCTCCTCATGTGGTCTCCTGTCAGCCCGCCAGGAGCACTTTTCCCCAGGGAGTATTCTGTGGTGTTTTGCAAACATGGATGTGCCAGGTGCTATGATGAGGCTGCAGCATTAGGAGGAGTGACCCCAGCAAGCCTGTGGGCAGGTTCTGTCTGGGGTGGCAGGACCTGCCGCCAGCCCCTGGCTTCTACTCTCTAGCCTCTCTGCTCAGAGCTCTGGGCATGGCAGGCAGGTAAACAGGCTGTGCCCTCCCAAGATGGGAGGTAATGAACTTCTTCTTTTTTTTTTTTTTTTTTTTTGAGACGGAGCTTCGCTCTTTTTACCCAGGCTGGGGTGCAATGGCACGATCTTGGCTCACTGCAACCTCCGCCTCCTGGGTTCAAGCGATTCTCCTGCCTCAGCCTCCCGAGTAGCTGGGATTACAGGCATGTGCTACCATGCCTGGCTAATTTTTTGTATTTTTAGTAGAGACGGGGTTTCTCCATGTTGGTCAGGCTGGTCTTGAACTCCCAACCTCAGGTGATCCACTCGCCTCGGCTTCCTAAAGTGCTGGGATTATAGGAGTGAGCCACCGCGCCCGGCCTGGAGCTGATGAACTTCTAAATCAGGTCCCTGTGCTCTGCAGACGGCTTTGAGAGAAACCTGTGCCTCTCTCAGGTCTGCTTGCCCCAAACTGTCCCCCAGAGACTGGCCCAGCTCCTTCCACCCCTGACCTTTGCTTCCATCCAATATCTGGGATGCAGTTAGGTTTGCCCCGAGGCAAAGCTACCAGAGTTTTGGCTGAAGATAACAGCTACAATGCTTCACACGCAGTGCTTATGCTGGGCCAGGCTGTCCTCCTGCCTGTCTCATAAGGTGCTTCCTTCCCTATCTGAAAGGGCTTAGTGCTGACCTCTGAGGCTGCCGCCTGAACCTAGGTCCAGTCGCAGCGCGAGAAAACCTCTGCTCCCTCCCGGAGACATCCAGACTCTGGCAGCCCTGGATGGGGACCAGAGAGCTTCCTGGCCATGTGTTTCCTGTCCCCCCATAGGCCTCCGTTTCCCTGATGGGGAAGGTTTTGTGTCCCTTGTGTCTGATGAGCCAGGACGTGGCTACGTGAACAGCACCACAGCCAAACTTGACGGGCATTTGGCCACAGCTGCAGGGAGGATGTGGGGGCCTGCATTGCCTCAGGCCTGCTCGTGGTTCCAAGTGGTGAAGCCCCATCACTGGTAAAGAGGAGTGGGATGGGCTCAACCGCTCTCACCTGCTCAGCCAAGAGGCAGGCCTGGGGCTTGGGGGCATTTCCTGGGCGGGGAGGAAACTGACCAACAGCTGAGTTACACACACACAGCAGTTCCTGTTTGAGCTGCCTGACTTGGGTTTTAAATAGAGCCTATTAAAGCAATTAGAGAATTGGTTCCAAAGTTTACCTCCTCTGATTCCCAAAGATAAAAGAAGGCATAATTTATTTTATCTTTCGGTAAAAAGTGTAGACGATTTGGGACCATCTGGTTTTAAAAAAATAATCTGACCTAGACACAAATGAACAAAAACGGTTTTGGAGAGAAATTGGTCTGCCTCACCCTCCCCTTTTTGTGTGGCGTATCTAAGCTTCATGGCTAAAACAAAACAAAACAAAAGGTGTTTAATAATTACCCTTGTTGACCTCTGTACCTCCTGGACTTCCTTCACTCCTGGGCACAAGACATGGCCATTCCTAGGGCTGGACCGTGCAGGCACGGGCGGTCGGCTGCGCCGCAGCTTCTCCGGCTCCGCAGGGTCACGGAGGAAGGTAAGGTCCGTGGGTGATAGAAAAGGCTCACGGCTCTCCTGGCCGGGGCCTGGACAGAGAAGGTATTTAGAGAGAGGGTACAGTGGTGTATGGTTATCTCCTAATTCAGTCTGGAACTGGGTTTCCTCGGCAATGTTTTCATTCCTTTCATCACTTAATGAAAAAGTACCTGGCCAGGCGCGGTGGCTCACCCCTGAAATCCCAGCCCTTTGGGAAGCCAAGGTGGAAGGACTGCCTGAGCCCAGGAGTTGGAGGCCAGCCCGGGCAAATCGCGAGACTCACGTCTTTACAAAAAAATATTGTAAAAATTTAAAAAGTACAAAGACAAAGTACCTGTATTGTATCGTGGCTCTGTGATGTAGGGGAGTGCCTTTGATCTTGGGAAGGAATTATAAGACCCACACTCTTTATCTGGACTTGATTCTGATAAATACATTCCACAATATTTTCATTTTTTAATTTTTTATATTTTATTTTTTTGAAACGGAGTCTCGCTCTGTGGCCCAGCTGGGGCTGGAGTGCAGTGGCACGATCTTGGCTCACTGCAACCCCCACCTCCCAGGTTCAAGTGATTCTCCTGCCTCAGCCTCCTGAGTAGCTAGGATTACAGGCACCCACCACCATGCCCAGCTAATTTTTTTTTTTTTTTTTTCATTTTTAGTGGAGACGGGATTTCGCCATGTTGGCCAGGCTGGTCTCAAACTCCTGGGCTCAAGTGATCCGCCCACCTCGGCCTCCCATAGTGCTGGGATTACAGGCCTCAGCCACTGTGCCCAGCCCAGGATGTTGTTAAATATTTTTTTACTTTTGAAAAAAAAAAAATGAAGTTGGACCACGGAGGTAGAATAACTTTCAAGGCACAGGCACGTGGGCCAGAAGGCTCCCGGGGCCTGTCTGGGAGAGAGCTAAGCAAGCAGCTGAGCTTTGGAGAACAGCGGGGAGCTGTGTTCCCCTGCCTGGACAATGTTAATGACTGACTTTGACTGGGGCCCAGCGCATGGGCCCTGCGGGACTGGCCGCGGCCCCCGCCTGTGGCAGTAACCAGCACTGTGCTTTTGGAGCCAGTTCCCCTAGTCCAGGCTGAGCTTGCACTTGCATCTTATCTGCTGCTGCTGAACCAGGATTCAGCTGTGCGCCTTCCTTGCAGTCTCCTGGAACCAGCAGGAGGAAACATGGGGGATACCGGCCTGAGAAAGCGGAGAGAGGATGAGAAGTCGATCCAGAGCCAAGAACCCAAGACCACCACTCTCCAAAAGGAGGTAAGGCAGTCTCTGGTGGGGCAGGCCCTTTGCAGGTTAGGCAAGGGCGTCTGAACGAGGGGCACAGGCGGTGAAATCCGGGCCGATCCCTAGTGACACGGCAGAAGATGCGCTCTTTGATTTGTGAATTACATCTTTAAAGGGACAATCTCTGGACCTACCTCTTTCCCTCTCGCCAGGGAACTCTGTATATTCTTTTTTTTTTGAGATGGAGTGTTGCTCTGTCGCCCAGGCTGGAGTGCAGTGGTACTATCTCGGCTCACTGCAACCTCCACCTCCCCGGTTCGAGGGATTCTCCTGCCTCAGCCTCCTGAGTAGTGGGGATGACAGGCACCCGCCACCATACCTGGCTAATTTTTGTATTTTTAGTAGAGATGGGGTTTCGCCATGTTGGCCAGGCTGGTCTCGAACTCCTGACCTCAGGTGATCCTCATACCTCGGCCTCCCAAAGTGCTGGGATTACAGGTGTGTGCCACTGCACCCGGCTGCATTTTTTTTTTTTTTTTTTTGAGACAGAGTGTTGCTGTGTCACCCAGGCTGGAGTGCAGTGGCTTGATCTCAGCTCACTGCAACCTCTGCTTCCTGGGTTCAAGCAGTTCTCCTGCCTCAGTCTCCTGAGTAGCTGGGACTACAGGCGTGTGCCCCTATGCCTGGCTAATTTTTGTATTTTTAGTAGAGACAGGGTTTCACCATGTTGGCCAGGCTGACCTCCAATTCCTGGCCTCAAGAGATCCGCCCACCTCAGCCTCCCAAGTGTTGGGATTACAGGCATGAGCCAACTTGCCCAGCCCAGATATTATTTTAAGTTCATACCTGGGTGCTTTTGTGTGTTGGGCAAATGTCTAGAGGGGCCAGTAGTTTTGTTCAAACTAATGACCTTTCCAGGAATGGTCAGAAAGCGCCTTCTTTTTAAAAATTAAAAAAAAAAATTTAGAGACAGGGTCTTGCTCTGTCACCCAGGCTGGAGTGCAGTGGTACAATCATGGCTCACTGCAGCCTCGACCTCCTGGGCTCAAGCGATCCTCCTGCCTCAGCCTCCGGAGTAGCTGGGACTACAGGGGTGCACCACAATGCCCTGCCAAATTTTTAACTTTCCAAAAATTTTTTTTCTGTAGAGGCAGGGTCTTGCTGTGTTGCCCAGGCTGGTCTGGAACTCCTGGGTTCAAGCCATCCTCCCACCTTGGGCTCCCAAAGTGCTGGGATTATAGGCGTGAGTCACTGTGCCCAGCCAGAGAGGGCGTTCTGATGGTTGAGTCCCCTCTAAATGGCTGTCCCTCTTATGTCTGAATGGCTGTAGTGAGGAGAAGTACTGCCCCCAGCATAGCCTGTTCTGTCTTAGAGGCATCTACCAGGGACGGCCACTCTGAGTTGGGGTGCAGTGAGCAGCTGGGGCTGGCCCTGGGCCTGGAGGGGAAGGGAGCTTGGGGCTGTGGGGAAGGCAGAAAGGAGCTCCACACGGCACAGGCACACCGCGGCAGGCCCAGGCAGTTGGGAGCAGCAGGTGCTGAGCATGGAGGGGCGGGGAGGGCTTCAGGCTCCTAGGAGGAGAAAGGCAGCCCCAGGCAAGCTCAGGATGGTTTCCGCTTCCCGGGCAGAGGTGTGGGTAGGGCCTCCGAGAGCTCCCATGCCTGGCAGCAGAGGGGATGGAGGAGAGACGGCGCCAAGGCTTTAGGACTTGACCAGGGGGCTGACAATGGCCTGAATGGCTTGGCCTGGGACTGGGGTCCCCAGGAGGTAGACGATGGACTGCAACCCTCTCCCTCTCGGCCAGTCTCAGGCCTGATCTCAGCAAGGGCCTCTTGGAACCCTGTTGGGCCCAGTGGCCACAGAGCACAGCTGAGAAATCCCCAGATGTGTCTTCTGAGCTGGGGACAGGTATGGCGGCACACGCCTGTAACCTTAGCACTTTGGGAGGCTGAGGAGGGAGGATCGCTTGAGCCCAGGAAATTGAGGCTGCAGTGAGTCATGATCGCGCCATTGCACTCCAAGCCTGGGTGACACAGCAAGACCCTGACTCTAAAAACTGAAAATCTGAGCTGGGTCTACCCCTCAGTCAGGCAGCTTCAGGGTGAATGCAGACCTCACCCACATCAGAACCCAGGCAGTCCCTCAGCAGGAGGGAGGATTCTGGAGCCAAACCGCTAGTCCTGGGCAGGGCTGAGATGAGGAGGAGAGCTGAGCCCTGTCCTGGAAGTGCGTCCTGGCCCTGAAAGCTGACGCTGCTCCCCAGGGATCCCGCTGGTGTGCACAGAGTCCCCAGGGTGGCAGCCTGCAGCTGGGAGCCCTTCATCCCCTGCGATCTGACTCCAATCCCAGCCTCTTCCCAGACAGGTGAACACGGGTGCTGGAAACTTCAGGCTCTGGAGATCTGGCTGGGGACTGCTTCTGAGGACAGGTGTTATGAGTAGGGCTTGAGTTGGACTTTTTTTTTCCTCCTTGATTGGTATGTAATTTACATACAGTGAAATGTGCAGGTCTTTTTTTTTTTTGGAGACAGAGTCTCACTGTCACCCAGGCTGGAGTGCAGTGGCTCACTGCAGCCTCCGCCTCGCGGGGTTCAAGCGATTCTCCTGCCTCAGCCTCCTGAGTAGCTAGGAACAGGCGTGCACCAGAATGCCTGGCTGATTTTTGTATTTTTTAGTAGAGACAGGGTTTCTCCGTGTTGGCCAGGCTGGTCTTGAACTTGCGACCTCAGGTGATCCGCCTGCCTTGGCCTCCCAAAGTGCTGGGATTACAGGCGTGAGCCACCGCACCTGGCCGAAATGTACAGATCTTTAGTGCTCAGTTTGGTGAGTTTTGACAGAAAGCTCCCTCCTGCCCCTTTCTGGGCAGGGCCCCAGCCCTACATTCCCGTCGCCGTGGATTTGTTTCACTTGTTCTTGAACTTCACAGGCATGGAACCGTCCGGTGTCTCTTTGAGCTGGGTTCTGTTCTGAGAAAGCTCACATCCTAGCAAATGGCACTGGGCCAGGCATGGTGGCTTACGCCTGCAATCCCAGCACTTTGGGAGGTTGAGTTGGGAGGACTGTTTGAGGCCAGCAGTTTGAGGCTGCAGTGAGCTATGATCTCACCGCTGTGCCCCAGCCTGGGTGACAGAGAGAGATCTGACTCTAAATAAATAAGTAAATAAAAATAAGATAAAAGAAAATGGCACCCAGAAAGTTCACAGTCCCCGAATGTTTCTGTTTCTGGGAGGCCTCCGTTGCTCACCCTGCTTGGAGCCTCTGGCCAGGACTCTAGGCCCTGACTTCCCTCTGCTTTGGTGGTGCATTCCTTTCTCCTCTGCCCAGCTCAGAGGCGTATCCCGAGGGCCCTTCTCATTGGCAAGCTGTCGCCAAGTCAGTCTTTTCATTGAGGGCACAGGATCATGGTTAGGCGCGGAACCTGAGCCGGGTCTACCCCTCTCTAGCTGTAAACCCCGGATAGCCCCCTAACCTTTCTGTGCCTCAGCGTCCTCCTCTGTACCATGGGGGTGGTACCGTGTGGCCAGCTCATGGGGCTGTCACGAGAATGAATCACGTTAACATAAGCGAAGCTCCGGGAGCCGTGCCCCAATATTGCCAGGGAAGCCGCTCAGGGTGGAAGCGCCTGGAGCATGGGCTTTGGCTGGGGCTGCCCTGGCCGTACCAAGGCAGGGTGGCACCTGGTCTTCTGGGCTGGGTCCAGGCATGGCACTAACACGCTCTTCCTTCCTCCACACCTAGCTGGGCCTCATCAGTGGCATCTGCATCATCGTGGGCACCATCATCGGCTCTGGGATCTTCATTTCCCCCAAGTCTGTGCTCAGCAACACGGAAGCTGTGGGGCCCTGCCTCATCATATGGGTGGTTTGCGGCGTCCTCGCCATGCTGGGTAAAGACACTTGGCTCCCTGATGCAGCCCCCGAAGCATGCAGGGCACGCTAGGCAGGTGCTACCTGTTCAGCCCTCACCCTGCCAGTGTCCCTCTTGGCACATGTGTGGCAAACAGCTGTAAATCAGGCTGGACTGAATGTCCAACAGCTGGAGCTCAGAGCCATCCAGTGAGGGCGGACCACGGTGGGCCCCTCCATACCAGCGCAGCTCCTGGTGGGAGGAAAGCTCCCTGGGGCGGGAGCCGTGCCTCACAAGGGGCCTATGGGCCCTTCCTCTCTGCATTCCAGGCGCCCTGTGCTTTGCGGAACTTGGCACGATGATCACCAAGTCAGGGGGCGAGTATCCCTACCTGATGGAGGCCTACGGGCCCATCCCCGCCTACCTCTTCTCCTGGGTCAGCCTGATGGTCATGAAGCCCTCGTCCTTCGCCATCATCTGCCTCAGCTTCTCCGAGTATGTGTGCGCGCCCTTCTACGTGGGCTGCAAACCTCCTGTAATTGTTGTGAAATGCCTGGCCGCTGCCGCCATCTGTGAGTACCCGAGCCCAGGGCGGGGTCAGAAAAGACCCGGCACAGAGGGTGTCCGGGGACCCCGCCCTCCGCTCCTTCCCAGTGAGCTAGAGTCTCTGGCGAGGGGCCAGGCAGGGCCTGGCGTCAGCCTTTGCGCTACCTGTGGGTGCCGCACGCTGGGGACCCCCAGGCCCATGGGGGCTGCAGGGAGGGGTGCCGCTGGCTGTCCTGCAGGGCAGAGCCATGGCTCAGGGCCCAGCTTCTTCTCCCAGCATGGTGGCACGTGCCTGTAATCCCAGCTACTCGGGAGGCTGCTTACCATGCCCTGATAATTGTTCGCCATCTGAGGCAGCCCGGCTAAATTTCAAAGGTCATCTCCAGGTTCATTTAAAAGGTCCTTAAACTCCCATGTTGGGATCTGCCCTCTTGGAATTTGGGAGATAATGTGGTGGCTGATGGGGGAGCAGGGGTGGGCAGCAGGCATGCTGCCCGTTTCTACTAAAATACAAAAATCAGCATGCTTGGAATCTCACCACTTTGGGAGGCTGAGGTGGGAGGATCGCTTGAGGCCAAGAGTTTGAGATCAGCCCTGTCAACACAGTGAGACCCTTGCCTCTACAAAAAATAAAAACATTAGCTGGGTGTGGTGGCATGCACCTGGAGTCCCAGCTACTTGGGAGGCTGAGGAGGGGGGATCACTTGAGCCTTGGCCCTGTCTGAAAAAATAAAATAAAAGAGCCTGGGTGTGGTGGCCCACGCCTGTAATCCTAGCACTTTGGGAGGCCAAGGCGGGTGCATTACTTGAGGTCACGAGTTCGAGACCAGCCTGGCCAACATGGCAAAATCCCATTTCTACTAAAATACAAAAATTAGCAGGGTGGGGTGGGGGGGCTAGGGGGCTGGTGGGGTAGCATGTGCCTATAATCCCAGCTACTGGGGAGATTGAGGCAGGAGAATTGCTTGAACCCGGGAGGTGGAGGTTGCAGTGAGCTGAGACTGTGCCTTTGCACTCCAGCCTAGATGACAGAGTGAGACTCCACCTCAAATAAATAAAAAAAAATAAAATTACAAAAACTGGATGTGAGGGCAATCTGGCACGGACATGTGTCGCCCCTCTGATCGCCAGGGTTGATTCAGGTGATCTGGCTGGCTAGGCTGGTGTCCCCTTCCTCCCTCACTGCTCCACGTGCATCCCTCCTGAAGCTGTGTGCTTGGTCGAAGAGGATGACCATCCCCGATAGAGGAGGACTGGTCTTCGGTCAAGGGTATATGAGTAGCTGCGCTCGCCCTTTAGAACCTCCAGACAAGCTCTCTACTAAAAATACAAAAATTAGCCAGTCATGGTGGTATGCACCTGTCGTCCTAGCTACTCAAGAGTCTGAGGCAGGAGAACTGCTTGAACCGAGGAGGCAGAGATTGCTGAGATCATGAGCTGAGATCATGCCACTGCTCTCCAGCCTGGGTGACACAGTGAGACTCCATCTCAAAAAAAGAAAATTAAAAATAAAAAGTTAAAAAATATAGAAAAGAAAGGAGACTATCTCCAGGGCTTTGTTGAAAACCATAAATGCAGAAACTGCCCCCACCCTTCCAGTGTTCATCACGACGGTGAACTCACTGAGCGTGCGGCTGGGAAGCTACGTCCAGAATATCTTCACCGCGGCCAAGCTGGTGATCGTAGCCATCATCATCATCAGCGGGCTCGTGCTTCTGGCCCAAGGTGACCTACGGGAGGGCGGGCCCTGCACGGGCACACACCAAACCCCCTTCCACTGGGAGTGGAGCAGTTTTGCCCCACGAGCCCATTGCCAAGGAAGCGTGGCGGGAACTCAGTGGGAGGGATCCTTAGTTGCAGGGCGTGTTTAATAAGCTGGGGTCACAATCATGCCCGTCTTTCCCGTGGAGATGCACTCAAGATCTGGCCGGCTGACACCCGCCATTCACTGTCTGGCTTCATTACAGGAAACACAAAGAATTTTGATAATTCTTTCGAGGGTGCCCAGCTGTCTGTGGGAGCCATCAGCCTGGCGTTTTACAATGGACTCTGGGCCTACGATGGATGGTGAGGCGTCCTGAGATGTCCTGAGCCTGGGGGTGGGTGGGTTCTCCAGGCAACTTTAACTCCACCTGTCATGGAAAGCAATGAGTTCCCCTCTCTGGGGTTTGGTGTGACCTTGACATTCACCCTCCCATTTCCTTTTTGTGAAGCATGCAACACCCTCTACCCTTTATTCCCAGAGACACCGGCTCAGTCAGCCAGAGCGCTCTGTGTAGAACCCACCGGGCCAACAGAGGCTCAGCCCAATTAGACGCAGCCAGGGCCCAAGCTCGGGTTTTCTGTTTTGTTTCGTTTTTTTTTTTTTTTTTTTTTTTTTAGAGACAGGATCTCACTTGGTCACCCAGGCTGGAGTGCAATGGTATAATCATAGCTCACTGTAGCCTCAAACTCCTGGGCTCAAGCCAGCTTCCCGCCTCAGCCTCCTGAGCAGCTGGGACTACAGATAGGAGCTACCATGCCCGGGTAATTTTTTATTTTTATCCTTTGTAGAGACAGAGTCTCTCTATGTTGCCCAAGCTGGTCTCAAACTCCTGCACTCAGGCAGTTCTCTCTCCTCGGCCTCCCAAAGTGCCGGGATTACAGGCGTGAGCCACCGTGTCCAGCCTCAAGCTCTTGACTAAACAAAGAACACTCAATAGCTCTTCTATTTAACCTTGAAAATCACTAGGATTGGGAGCCTCTTTGAACCTATTACGGTTTGGGGGCTGCCCTACAAAAATAAATAATACCATATACATTTTATGTATTTATCGGGTTTAGTGGATGAGACTTTGTTTTGTCTTTTTTTTTTTTTTTTTTTTTTTTGAGACAAGAGTCTCACTCTGTCACCCAGGCTGGAGTGCAGTGGCGCGATCTCGGCGCACTGCAATTGCTTGAACCCCTCAGGTTCCGTCTATAACGCTGGTCCTTCTCTCCTGCAAAGCATTTATAGATTTCATTCCCTTTTCAGACAAAGAAATATCCCATTTTTTCAAAGCCCCCTGGGGACTCACTACTCCTGATTATTCTTGAAAATCCATGTGATTCCCAAGGAGGGCAAAGACTCAACCAGCTGACAGATGTGTAGGTCTGGGTAGGACCCCAGACCCCACCACTAGCAGGGCCATTAACCTGGAAAGAAATTCACCTGGAATTTCTGCAGGAGAATTTTTTTCTTTGGTAGAGAATCTTAAATGAAGCCAAAATTTATTATTGTGGGTTTCATATTGGAAAAAGAAAGTCAAGGTGTGTGATGCTTGTTACTTGCCTTTTTCCAGGAATCAACTCAATTATATCACAGAAGAACTTAGAAACCCTTACAGGTAACAGCTGAATCAGTGCAGGGGACAGTAGCCGGGCAGGCTGATTTCTCTTCTCCTGGTGAAGACTGGAGCTGTTTCCCTGGTTATTCCATGATGCCCTTCCCGACAGTGAATTTTTTTTTTTTTTTTTTTTTTGAGATGGAGTCTTGCTCTGTCACCTAGACTGGAGTGCAGTGGTGCAATCTTGGCTCACTAAATTTTGTATTTTTTTAGTAGAGATGGGATTTTTTTTAGTAGAGATGGGATTTTGCCATATTGGCCAGGCTGGTCTTGAACTCCTGACCTCAAGAGATTCGCCCATCTCGGCCTCCCAAAGTGCTGGGATTACAGGTGTGAGCCACCGCGCCCGGCCAGCGAATGGTTTCTTATGAGCTCACTATGCACGTTTAGAGTTTGGTTTGGTTTGGGGCAGAGCAGTGGCTACTAAGGGAGGGAGGAGCTTGGTCTTCCTTTATCTCTGGCTTATTCTGCTTTATAAACAGTTCCATGTGAACTGCTCTGGAGTCTGAGAGAGGCGGCATTCCCATTTGAAAATGTCTCATGTTCCTGCTGGGGCTCTGCTACCTGCAAATCTTCTCCCTGGGAGGGCGTCCATCTCCCACAGGAGGCTGTGGTCTGAACGTGGGTCTCCGTGTCATTGCCCCTCCCAGAAACCTGCCTTTGGCCATTATCATCGGGATCCCCCTGGTGACGGTGTGCTACATCCTCATAAATGTGTCCTACTTCACCGTGATGACTGCCACTGAACTCCTGCAGTCCCAGGCCGTGGCCGTGGTGAGTGCTCGGGCATCGCCGCTGGTGGGCTGTGGCTTGTGGGAAGGGGGAAGGCAGGTGTCAGCACTGAAGGTGAGCTCCCTCCCAGGGAAGGAGGGCGATATTCACGGACGGGGGCACGGACTGGGCATGCACGGCATGGAGTCAGAGGCAGGGCTGGGCTAGCCAGGGTGAGGGTTTGACAGGCAAGCATGAAGCAGAGGCAGAAAGTGCCAGGGAGTCGGGGGAGGTCATTATATTAGGCTGGTGCAAAAGTAATTGCCATTCCTTTCAATGGCAAAAATGGCAATTACTTTTGCACCACCCTAAATAATAATGAATCATAGAAGCTGAGAGGTGAGAGGCATTGGGGTCAGTGAAGAGGTGGCTGGGGGCCTCCTGTGGTTGCAAACAGACAACCAAGTGTTGGGAATGCAGAAGGTGGAGGAGACACAGTTTGGATAAGCGTTGAGGTCACTGACCATGAGACTGGGGGCTGCTAAGGTGGGAGGGAGAATTCAGCCATTCCAGTTGGAGTGGGGGTTCGGGGAAGTGAGGGGTGAAGGTGTCAGGATATTGAAATGACCAAGAATTATGCAGCTGGGTGTGGTGGCGAGTGCCTGTGGTCTCAGCTACTTGGAAGACTGAGGCCAAGGATCGCGTGAACCCAGGAGGCTGAGGCTACAGTGAGACATGATCACACCCCTGCACTCCAGCCTGGGCAACAGAGCAAGATCCTGTCTCTAAAAAAATCAAATTAAAAAATAAAGATTTGGCTGGGCATGTTGGCTCATGCCTGTAATCCCAGCACTTTGGAAGGCCGAGGTGGGCGGATCACAAGGTCAGGAGTTCAAGACCAGCCTGGCCAACATGGTGAAATCCCATCTCTACTAAAAATATAAAAATTAGGTCAGTGTGGTGGCACGTGCCTGTAATCCCAGCTACTTGGGAGGCGGAGGCATGAGAATTGCTTGACCCCAGGAGGCAGAGGTTGCCGTGAGCTGAGACCGCACCATTGCACTCCAGCCTGAGCAACAAGAGTGAAACTCCGTCTGATTGATTGATAGATAGATAGATAGATTGATTGATTGATTGATTGATGCCAGGGAGTAGTGCATAAGAGATTTCTCTTGCCATCACAATATCTGGAGGTAGGTGAGTGGCGTTCTCCTCTCTCCTCTGCAGTGGAGAAGTCAGAGGCTGTGCCCCGAGGCAAGGTGGGTCCCTGGGTCCCCTGGGAGGCCAGAATAGCTTTTGGGGGCCGGCCGCTCTAGGAAGCCGAGAAGACCCTCAGGACTCATCTCGCTTCTCTCACAGACGTTTGGTGACCGCGTTCTCTATCCAGCGTCTTGGGTCGTTCCACTTTTTGTGGCATTTTCAACCATCGGTGCTGCTAACGGGAGCTGCTTCACAGCGGGCAGGTAGGGGACCCCCGGCCGTCACTCCCAGGGTGGGCAGGGGCGGTGAAACCAATGTCACCCCTGAGGAAGACACACAGCTCAAATCCTCAGGGCTCTGCCAGGCGAAACCCATGGCAGCACAAGTAGGAGACCCAAATCCAGGAGGAGGGATGTGGCTTGAACCCACACCGCCAACTGGCCAGGAAGGCTTGGATGGGCCTGCACACAGGAATTGATCAAGGCTACCTGGAATCTCCGCCTTTCCACTCCAGGGCCCTAGTTCCAAACATGGCGGGGAAGCTGCCCATGCTGAGGTGAAGGGAAGTAACACAGTTGTCCAGTGTTCTGGATAGATATATTTCCAAGTGAAAATGACAAAGTCTACATATGTTAAAAAATGAAATACCATAAAATCATTCTTCTAAAGCCAAACCAAAATACACGCCTCCAACTTCGTTCTTTGTCAAAAGCATTTTGGCTACATCCTTTGTATTTCTTTATAAATGTTTAAATTTTAATTTTAATTAACTAATTAATTTTGAGGCAGACTTTCACTCTGTTGTCCAGACTGGAGCACAGTGGCACGATCTTGGCTCACTGTAGCCACCACCTCTTCGGCTCAAGCAATCCTCCCTCCTCAGCCTCTGGAGTAGCTGGGACCACCGGCACATGCCACCACACCTAGCTAACTTTTGTATTTTTAGTTGAGACGGGGTTCCACTATGTTGCCCAGGCTGGTTTCGAACTCCTGGCTCAAGGGATCCTCCTGCCTCAGCCTCCCAAAGTCCTGGAATGACAGGCACGAACTATCGTGCCCAGCCTTATTTTATTTTTAAATTGACAAATAATAATTGTTTATATGGGCTGAGGCAGGAGGATCCCTTGAGGCCAGGAGTTCGAGACTAGTCTGGGCCGCATGGTGAGACTCCGTCTCTACAAAAACAAATTTAAAAATTAGCTGGGTGTGGTGGCCCATGCTTGTAGTCCCAGCTACTTGGGAGGCTGAGGTGGGAGGATTGTGTAAGCCCAGGAGTTCCAGGCTGCAGTGAGCCATGATCACACCACTGCACTCCAGCCTGGGTAACAGAACAAGACTCTGTCTCTAAAAAATAATAACAATAATTGCGTATATGGATGTGGTACAGTGTGATGTTTCAATACATGTAAACATTGTGGAATGAGCAAATCAGGCTAATTAACATGTATCACCTCACATACTTCTTTGCAATGAGAACATTTAAAATCCACTAGCCATTTTGAAATATACACTGTTATTAACAATAGTCACCTTGGCCGGGCGCGGTGGCTCAAGCCTGTAATCCCAGCACTTTGGGAGGCCGAGACGGGCGGATCACGAGGTCAGGAGATCGAGACCATCCTGGCTAACACAGTGAAACCCTGTCTCTACTAAAAAATACGAAACACCAGCCGGGCGAGGTGGCGGCGCCTGTAGTCCCAGCTACTCGGGAGGCTGAGACAGGAGAATGGCGGGAACCCGGGAGGCGGAGCTTGCAGTGAGCTGAGATCCGGCCACTGCACTCCAGCCTGGGCGGCAGAGCAAGACTCCGTCTCAAAAAAAAAAAAAAAAAAAACAAAACAAACAAAAAAAAAACAATAGTCACCTTGCTGTGCATTAAATCACCAGAGCTTATTCCTCCCATCATACTGAAACTCTGTAGCCTTTGACCAACATTGCCCCTTTTGCCATCCCAGGCCCCTCTTCCTTCAGCCTCTGGTAACCAGCATTCTACTCTCTATTGCTGTGTTTCAATTTTTAGATTTCACGTATGTCGCCGGTCATTACAACTATCTGGGCTGGTGGCACAGGGATAAGAAGAATTTACCAAGACAGCTGTAGGTCAGGAAAGGCCAATTTATTAGAGAAAGCAGGAAAATACATTGCAAGGGTGCAATGGGCAGGTCAGCGAGAGAGGAGCTAATTGCAAAGAGACAAAGGCTTGCTGAGGATTTTATAGGAGGGCGCTTGTGCTGTGTTGCTGGACAGGGGCATGTGCAGTACCGATCATGCCAAGGTTGCAGTGAGCTAACTTGCATTTTTCTATTAGCTGAGGGTCTGGCGATCACTGGGCACAGGAAGATTGTGTTATTTGTGCAGGGGGCTGTGTGTCCTGGACCATGAAGAAGGGCAGGCTTGTAGCTTACCTGCTTTCTCTCTTTTGGCTTTCCCTTGGTCCCACCAGCCTGACTCATTTTCCCTAATTAGGACTCCATAATATATAAGGGAGGTCATGGGATATTTGTCTGTGTCTGGCTTATTTCACGTAGCATAATGTTCTCTAGAGTCATCTTTGTTGTCAAAAACTGGCAGAATTCCATTCTCTTTAGAGTCTGAATAGTATTCCATTGTGTATCTGTAACATTATTTTTATTCATTGATCTGTTGATGGACACTTAGGTTGTGTCCGTGTCTTGGCTGTGGTGAAGAACGTTGTAATGAATGTGGGAGTGCAGACACCTGACATGTGGATTTCAATTCATTCAAGTATATACCCAGAGGTACATGAGAGTGCAGGTATCTGACATACGATTTCAGTTCATTCAAATATATACCCAAGGCCAGGCGCAGTGGCTCACGCCTGTAATCCCAGCACTTTGGGAGACCTAGGTGGGTGGATCACTTGAGGTCAGGAGTTCGAGACTAATCTGGCCAATATGGTGAAACCCCATCTCTACTAAAAATACAAAAATTAGCGGGGCATGGTGGCAGATGCCTGTCATCCCAGCTATTCAGGAGGCTGAGGTAGGAGAATCACTTGAACTTGGCAGGCGGAAGGTGCAGTGAGCTGAGATTGTACCAGTGCACTCCAGCCTGGGCAACAGAGTGAGATTCCATCTCAAAAGAAAAAAAAACCTCATTGTCCAGACCAATGTCACAGAGCTGCCCCGTTTTCTCCTAGGAATTTTACAGTTTCAAGTCTTACATCCATTTTGAGTAGATTTCTTGTCTAAGGGGTGAGATAAGGGTCCAATTTCATTCCGCCAGCTTTCCCACTTGCATATGAATATGAAAATCAGCTTGCCAGTTTCTACAGTAAAGCTGTTGGGATTTTGATCAGGACTGTGTTGAATCTATAGATCAACCGGGGGAAGACTCTGCTGTCTTAAAAGTACTGAGTCTTCCAGCATGGGTACGGTGGCTCAACCTGAAATCAAAGCACTTTGGGAGGCCGAGGGGGAGTACTGCTTGAGCCCAAGAGTTAGAGACCAGCCTAGACAACATAGTGAGACCCCATCTCTACAAAAAATACAATAAACTTTGCCAGGCATGGTGGCACATGCCTGTGGTCCCAGCTACTCAGGAGACTGAGTTGGGAGGATCACGTGAGCCCAGGAGGGCGAGGCTGCAGTGAGCTGAGATTGCACCACTGCACTCCAGCCTGGGAGACAGAGTGAGATCTTGTCTCCAAAAAAAAAAGCTGAGTCTTCCAATCTATGGGTGGACTGTTTATTTAGGTCTTTAATTTTTTTTAAACAACTTTTTGTTTGTGTGGTGGTGTTTTTCTGTTGTTTGTTTTGAGATGGAGTCTTGCTCTTCGCTCTGTCATCCAGGGTGGAACGCAGTGGCACAATCTCAGCTCACTGCAAGCTCCATCCCCCAGGTTCACGCCATTCTCCTGCCTCAGCCTCCCGAGTAGCTGGGACTACAGGCGCCTGCCACCATGCAGGCTAATTTTTTGTATTTTTAGTAGAGATGGGGTTTCACTGTGTTAGCCAGGATGGTCTCGATCTCCTGACCTCATGATCTGCCCGCTTCGGCCTCCCAAAGTGCTGGGATCACAGGCATAAACCACCGCGCCTGGCCTTTTTTTTTTTTTTTTTGAGACAGGATCTTGCTTTGTCACCCAGGCTGGAGTGCAGTGACACGATCCCAGCTCACTGCAACTTCTGCCTCCCAGATTCAAGCGATCCTCATGCCTCAACCTTCCAAGTAGCTGGGATTACAGGCATACACCATCACACCTGACTAATTTTTGTATTTTTGGTAGAGATGGGGTTTCACCATGTTGCCCAGGCTGGTCTCGAACTCAAACTCCTGGCCTCAAGTGATCCACCTGCCTCGGCCTCCCAGTGTTGGGATTACAGGTGTGAGCCACTGTGCCTGGCTTAATTTTTTGTAAAAAAGTGTTTTTTGAGTAGTTTTTGGTATATAGTTCTTGCACATCTTTTGTCAAATTTATTCCAAAGAATTTTATTTTTCATACTATTCTAAATGGTATTGTTAAAAAAAATTGCTTAATTTTCAGTTTCTGATGGCTTATTGTTAGTATACACAAACACAATTTTAACAGTTCCAATTAAGGCACAAATATCATAAAACTCACCCTTTGTAATTGTACAACTCAATTATTTTCATAAATTTATAAGGCCGTGCAAAACATCACAATCCAATTCTAGATCATTTCCATCACCCCAAAAAGGTTGCTCACTGCCTAATTAATCCCTGCTTTCACCCACAGCCCCAGGCAACCACTAAGCTGCTTCTGTCTCTATAATCTTGCTTCTTCTTGACGTTTCATCTAAATAGAATGACACAGGTCAGGCATGGTGGCTCACACCTGTAATCCCAGCACTTTGGATGGCCAAAGTGGGCAGATCACTTGAAGTCAGGAATTCAAGACCAGCCTGGCCAACACGGTGAAATCCTCTCTCATAAAGTACAAAAATTAGCCTGATGTGGTGGGGGGCGCCTATAATCCCAGCTACTTGGGAGACTGAGGCAGGAGAATCACTTGAACCCGGTGGGGCAGAGGTTGCAGTGAGCCAACATTGTACCATTGCACTCCAGCCTGGGCAACAGAGTGAGACCCCGTCTCTCAAAAACAAAAAAAACAAAAAAAACAAAAAAAAAGGGTTTGTAGCTTTGGTCATGTAAAATCTGGCAGGACTAGCGCTCCCATGTCAGACTTCTCCTTGCCTGTTTAGTATTCCCTATGCACTTACAATGATTTTGTCCAAAAGTTCCAAAAGTCCTGCTTGCGTTCTGATTGCATGGAATTTGTATATTAATTTCTGGAGGACTGACAAAAATCTTTGACAGTATTTACCCTGAGTCTAAATCCCCCTTCCTTTTATCAACTCCCATCCTCCCGGTTTCACTTGTTTTGGGAATTAATATCGAGTTCATATCAATTCAAAGTTAAGCTATGTAGTTGTAAATAGATGGGTCATTGTGGCATTTGTATTGACTTCCGATTTTATTGTGCTGTAGTTAAGAGTATGTGACCTTTATGATATCAAGTCTTGGTTTGGGGTTTTTGTTGGTTGTTGTTGTTTGGAGACAGGGTCTCACTGTCGCCCAGGCTGGAGTGTGGTGGCGCAGTCATGGCTCACTGCAGCCTCAGACTCCTGTGCTTAAGTGATCCTCCCACCTAAGCCTCTCAAGTAGCTGGGACCACAGGCACGTGCCACCATGTGTGGCTAATATTAAGTTTTTTGTAGATGTGAGGTCTTACTATGCTGGCCAAGCTGGTCTCAAACTCCTGGCCTCAAGCAATCCTCCCACTTCAACCTCCCAAAGTGCTGGGATTACAGGCGTAAGCCACAGTGGCTGGCCTGATATCAATTCTTTTTATTTATTTATCTTTTTGAGAGAGTCTCGCTCTGTTGTCCAGGCTAGAGTGCAGTGGCATGATCTCGGCTCACTGCAACCTTCACTTCCTGGGTTCAAGAGATTCTCCTGCCTCAGCCTCCCAAGTAGCTGGGATTACAGGTGCCTGCCACCACACCCAATTTTTGTATTTTTAGTAGAGACAGGGTTTCACCATGTTGGCCGGGCTGGTCTTGAACTCTTGACCTCAAGTGATCCACCCACCTCGGCCTCCCGAAGTCTTGGGATTACAGGCGTGAGCCACTGTGCCTGGCCTCAATTCTTTAGAAGTTTGAAAATGCCCTTCGTGGCTCGCTGCTATTTTTATGTTTCCTATGGTCTTGAAGACAATGTGTATTCCACAATTATATCTAGATTTTTATGTGATCATCAAGATTGTAACTTGTAATGTTCAAATCTTTTGCTCAAATTGAATTTGCCGATTTTTGTCTGCTATGTTTCAAGGGCTCCTGGGGTTTTTGTTTTGTTTGTTTGAGACAGTCTCATTCTGTTGCCCAGGCTGGAGTCTGGAGTGCAATGGTGCGATCTCGGCTCACTGCAACCTCTGCTTCCCAGGTTCAAGTGATTCTCCTGCCTCAGCCTATGGAGTAGCTGGGGTTACAGGTGCCCGCCACCACACCCAGCTAATTTTTGTATTTTTAGTAAAGACGGGGTTTCCCCATGTTGGTTACGCTGGTCCTTGACCTCCTGACCTCAAGCACTCCACCTGTCTCGGCCTCTCAAAGTGCTGGGATTACAGGCGAGCCACCATGCCCAGCCCAGGCTCCTGTTTTTTATATCTTCTCCTTTTTTTTTTTTTTTTGAGATGGAGTCTCACTCTATCACCCAGGCTGGAGTACAGTGGCACAATCTCGGCTCACTGCAACCTCCGGCTCCCCGGTTCAAGCGATTCTACTGCCTCAGCCTCCTGAGTAGCTGGGAGTACAGGTGCCCACCACCACACCCGGCTAATTTTTTGCATTTTCAGTAGAGACGGGGTTTCACCATGATGGCCAGGCTGGTCTCGAACTCCTAACCTCATGATCCGCCTGCCTCAGCCTCCCAAAGTGCTGGGATTAAGGAGTGAGTCATTACACCTAGCCTTTTTTTTTTCTTTTTTTTGAGACAGAGTCTCACTTTGTCATCCAGGCTGGAGTCTGGAGTGCAGTGGTGCGATCTTAGCTGCAATGGTGCGATCTCAGCTTACCAGAACCTCTGCCTCCCAGGTTCCAGCGATTCTCCTGCCTCAGCCTCCTGAGTAGCTGGGACTACAGGTGTGCACCACCATGCCCAGCTAATTTATTGTATTTTTAGTAGAGACAGGGTTTCACCATGTTGGCCAGGCTGGTCTCAAACTCCTGACCTCAGGTGATGCCCCCGCCACAGTCTCCCAAAGTGCTGGGATTACAGAAGTGAGCCACCATGCCTGGCCCAAATTTTTAATTACGGTAACCTTTTCAAGAAATTCTGGTTAGCCAGAGGATACCAGAGGCTAAAAAGGGTAGGGGGAAGGGGAGACAGGGAGAGCCTTACTGAAGGATACAAAATTACAGCTAGACAGGAGGAATAGGTTCTAGTGTTCTACACGCTGCAGGGTGGCCAGAGCTCACATTAATATTAACATGTAGCTTCGGATAGCTAGGGGAGGATTTTGAATGTTCCCAACACGAAGAAATGGTAAATTAAAAAAATTTTTAAAGTTCTTTGTAGAGATAGGATCTCACTATGTTGCCAGGCTGGTCTCCAACTCCTGGGCTCAAATGAGCCTCCCGCCTTGGCCTCCCAAGATGTTGGGATTAGAGGCATGAGCCACCACACCTAGTCTCTCATTGTGTTTAACCTCCTCACTCACTCTGCCAAAACCCACTCCTCTCCCAAAGACAGACCCTCATCTGAAGCCCAGGTCCCCGCTCAGCTCCCTTCATGAACCTTCCGAGGGCTCCTTAGTGGACCCCGGAACACACGTCCTCGGTGGTCTTGGACAGATTGTCTGCACTCTGGTCAGCGGATTCCCATGTTGTTATTTTCCAGACTCATTTATGTGGCAGGCCGGGAGGGCCACATGCTCAAAGTGCTTTCTTACATCAGCGTCAAGCGCCTCACTCCAGCCCCCGCCATCATCTTCCACGTGAGTACGAATCCCGCTAACAGCCTATCTTCAAGGCGGGGACACTCCATCCGCGGGGTGCTAAGCCCGGTGGCTTCCAAATGACCCAGATGCCCTTATTCCTTGCCATGAAATAGATATAGAAAGAATCCCAAGATAGGTCAAACAATGTACCCAACGTCTGCTCCTTTGTCTGAATTTATCCGCGAAAGACAGTGTGTGCCCTCAATGCTTCTGTGTGCATTCGTCTGTGCTGGGTTGCTGGTAACAAACTCTATAAAAGCCTACTAGCTTACAGGGAAGGAGGGTAAGACATTTTCCCAGGTGGTTACTGACAGCAGCCTCTCATTATGCTCTAATGATTGAGAAGTCACTGGATCCTTATGCAGTAAATGCCCTTTGACTGTTTTTTGGTTTTTTTTTTTTTTTTTTTTTTTTTTTGAGAGTCTTGCTCTGTCACTCAGGCTGGAGTGCAGTGGCATGATCTTGGCTCACTGCATCCTCCGTCTCCCAGATGCAAACGATTCTCCTGCCTCAGCCTCCCAAGTAGCTGGGATTAAAGGGGCCTGCCATCATGCCCGGCTTGTTTTTGTATTTTTGGTAGAGATGGGGCTTCACCATGCTGGCCAGGCTGGTCTCGAACTCCTGGCCTCCAGTGATCGGCCCAACTCAGCCTCCCAAACTGCTGGGATTATAGGCATTAGCCACCATGCCTGACCACCCCTTTGACATCTTCTGATGGGAGCTTCTCTGTGGTGCATGGTCCTTGTTTTGTGCAACTGTTCTGGGCACTGATAAACCATCGACATTTCTACCCCAGGGCTGGTCTACAGCCGTCCCCCCAGAGGAGAGGCACTTCTCTATCATTCTGAAAACACACCCAGGAAATACCAGTCCAGGGCCACGCAACTAACACAGGCCAAGACTAGACCTGAGCTTCTAATCCAGGGCCCCGGCCCGCATTAGAAAACTCTTTGAGGAAAATTTGTAATTATGAAGCTGGTATAACATTCATACATATTAGGTTGGTGCAAAAGTAATTGCAGTTTTTGCCATTAAAAACTGCAATTACTGGCCAGGCATGGTGGCTCACGCCTATAATCCCAGTACTTTGGGAGGCCGAGGCAGGTGGATCACCTGAGGTCAGGAGTTCGAGAACAGCCTGGTCAACATGGCGAAACCTCATCTCACTAAAACTACAAAAATTGGCCGGGCGTGATGGTGCCTGCCTATAATCCCAGCTACTCAGGAGGCTGAGGCAGGAGAATCTCTTGAACCCGGGAGGTGGAAGTTGCAGTGAGCCGAGATTGCGCCACTGCACTCAAGCCTGGGTGACAGAGTGAGACTCCGTCTCAAAAGACAAAACAAAACAAAAAAACCGTAATTACTTTTGCATCAACCTAATAACTTTATTTCTCCCTTGCTTAAAATCACAACTTCAAAGATTCAGAAATTTCCCAGGTCTTTTCTGCAGGCTTCATAGAGAAGAGCTGTCATAGCCAAAGTCAGGTTTAACCCCAACTATCACAGAATGCCTGGGAAGTTCCTTTCCTGCTGAAGTGTTTTTCCACAAGAAAAACTGCTTCTTCGGTCTTCTGTGACGGGAGAACAGTGTTTTGTTGTAGTAATGACGTACGAATCCATTCTTCTTTCTATTAGGGTATCATAGCAACAATTTATATCATCCCTGGTGACATAAACTCGTTAGTTAATTATTTCAGCTTTGCCGCATGGCTCTTTTATGGCCTGACGATTCTAGGACTCATCGTGATGAGATTTACAAGGAAAGAGCTGGAAAGGCCTATCAAGGTAAGCTTGCAGCCCCAGAGTCACAAGTGGCTTTGGATTGTTTAATGAATTAGATAGAGGTAACTCTTTCAAATGCTAGGGGCATGGCTTCTAGTTCTAATCTGACTTGACTCTTTTAAAATATCATATTTTAGAGTGGAGTTTACTCTTCATAGCATAGTTTATGATCCAGTTAGCCACCTTATTATTCATCTTATTAAGTCATCATGAATACCTGTGGCCTATCTCTGTAACCAAAGAGGTCTACCTCTCTGTTTTTTTTTTTTTTTTTTTTTTTTTTTGGAGACAGAGTCTCACTCTGTCGCCTGGGCTGGAGTGCAGTGGCACATTCCTGGCTCACTGCAGCCTCCACCTCCCAGGTTCAAGCGACTCTCCTGCTTCAGCTTCCCAAGTTGCTGGGATTACAGGCATCTGCCACCACGCCCAGCTAATTTTTGTATTTTTAGTAGAGACAGGGTTTTACCATGTTGGCCAGGCTGGTCTCTAACTCCTGACCTCAAGTGATCTGCCTGCCTTGGCCTCCCAAAGTGCTGGGATTACAGGTGTCAGCTACTGCACCCAGCCCAGTTCTGATATCTCTCACACATATATTTTCATAGATTTTTCTTGTTTCATTTTTTTTCTTTAGAGATAGTGTCTCACTGTGTTGCCTAGGCTGGTCGCAAACTCCTGGGCTCAAGCGATCCTCCCACCTCGGCTTCCCAAAGTCCTGGGGTTACAGGTGTGAGCCACCATGCCTGGCCTCCTTTCATAGACTGATGGGAACTTCTGAACTCTAGTCCCAGACCCGTTGCTGTGCAAGCAACCACTCAGTCTATTTCTACCATCTGTTTTGGGCTCCCCCCCCCATTCCCTGCATGGCTGGCATGGATCTATATACCAATAAGGATGAAGTCGAATTTTATTGTTGTTACGTTAAGGGGCTTTAAAAAAAAACAACTGCTATTTAATTCTTATGATAACAGACATAAGAAAAAGGTAAGCTGAGGGCTTAAGTAGCTAGGACGAGAACAAGGACAATGTCTTTAGCTTTAGGACTTTGTTTTCAGAGATACGTCCAGTGGTCTTTCTGGCCCTGTATCTTGACTATGGACAAATGTTTGCCATTAGCTGAGCCATGGCACAGCCTGCCTGGAGCCTGGCAGATCCACCTTGGTTAAGTCATTGCAGGCAAAACCATGACAGTAGCATAGACTTGTAATCTGCACAAAATCCTTCATAGAAACAGAGCCTCTAGGATACCAAAGGAAAAACCCTTCAGCCAACATTGTCAACACAAATCAAGGAAATGAGGTCTCACCACCAACTCCAGACTCTTAAATGAACGCCCCACTAGCCTCCAGCCCCACGTGTTTCCAGGAGAGAGGGCACACCTGGAGAGAGGTTCTCAGTGGGAAGATCAGAGGACTCCCAGGGGAGGTGGGGAAGCAGGGCTGCAGTGGCTGAAGCCCTTGAGGATCCCAGAAACTCCCCACAAAAACTCCTTTCCGGAAGGGTAAGGATCACTGAAGACAACAGCAAGAGAAACAACTGCTGGGAGAGAAAGGACACGGAACGTGGCAAGCATATCGGTCAAGGAGCTGGAGCCTGTGGATACAGATCTCTCAACTGGGAAGGGGCTCCACAGAGAGGCCATGTCCCATTAGCACTTCAAAACATCATTTTAGGGAAAAAAAATCATTTCAGAAATAAAGAGTGGGCAAGAAGGAAAAAGAAAGAACACAGAGGCTGAGTGTGGTGGCTCACACCTGTAATCCCAGTACCTTGGGAGGCCAAAGGAGGAAGATCACTAGAGCCCAGGAGTTCAAGACCAGCTTGGGCAACAGCAAGACCCTGTCTCTACAAAAAATAGCTGGGTGTGGTGGTGCATGCCTATAGTCCCAGCTATTTGGGAGGCTGAGATGGGAGGACTGCTTGAGCCCAGGAGGTCAAGGCTTCAGTGAGCCAAGATCGTGTCATTGCACTCCAGCCTGGGCAACAGAGAGGGACCTTGTCTCAAAGAAAAAAAGAAAAGAAAAATAAGAGCAAATAAACATGCTAGGAAACCGAGGGCCAAAAGGAAGAAAACAAATATCAGACAGAAATAGAAAAGGTTTGAGAGAAAACAAGGGGACAGTAAAAAAAACTAGGGGTGGGGCAGGTGGGGAATGTAACACATGCATAATTGGAGTCTCTGAAGGAGAAAATGCAAGTAACAGATTCCCAAAATCTATAATTCAAGAAATGTTTCCTGGGGTGGGAGGAAAAGTGGAGGGTGGATCTTAAACCAACATATTGAAAGGCATACAATGTAACTGGAAAATTTGAGCTAAAATCGGCAGCAAAAATATATGCTGATAAAATTACAGAGCTTTAAAAAAATGCTTTGGGCATCCACTCCCCTTTTCCTGTTCCCACCTGCGTCTGCAATTCACTTATAAAGGAAAGCAAATAATTCTGGCCTCAAACTTTTCATCACCAACACTTCATGCCACAAGAGAGTGGAGCAACATATTTAAACTACTCAAAGGAAGAAAATGTAAGCCAAATTTTTTTTTTTTTTTTTTTTTTGAGATGGAGTCTAGCTCTGTCGCCCAGGCCGGAGTGCAGTGGCGTGATCTCGGCTCACTGCAAGCTCCGCCTCCCGGGTTCATGCCATTCTCCTGCCTCAGCCTCCCGAGTAGCTGGGACTACAGGCGCCCGCCATCTCACTGGCTAGTTTTTTGTATTTTTTAGTAGAGACGGGGTTTCACCGTGTTAGCCAGGGTGGTCTCGATCTCCTGACCTCGTGATCTGCCCATCTCGGCCTCCCAAAGTGCTGGGATTACAGGCTTGAGCCACCACGCCTGGCCAAGCCAAATTTTTATACCCAGCCAAACTGATCTTGCAGAATAAAGTCTACAGTCACCAGTATGAAAGAACTCAAGGCAAATATCCTTACACGAGACTTTTTTTTTTTAAAGACAGAGTCTCACTCTGTCATCCAGGCTGGAGTGCAGTGGCGCAACCTTGGCTCACTGTAACCTCTGCCTCCTGGGTTCAAGCGATTCTCCTGTGTCAGCCTCCTAAGTAGCTGGGATTATAGGCATGTGCCACCACGCCTGGCTAATTTTTATATTTTTAGTAGAGATGGGGTTTCACCATGTTGGTCAGGCTTGTCTCAAACTCCTGACTTTGTGATCCACCCACCTAAGCCTTCCAAAGTGCTGGATTACAGGCGTGAGCCACCGCACCCAGCCAATTACATGAGACCTTGAGGAATCACCCAGAGAATGAGTTTCAGAAACCAAAAAGTCACTGGCAAAGGTGAATATATCAAATTATAGAACTAAGAATAATGATGAGAGAGAAAGGAGACAGAAGTGTATGCCACTATTATGCACTGGCAATATCGTACAAAAACATGGAGAGAAAGCACGTGGAAAAGTATATGCCAACTGAGGAAAGTATGCCAGACAAGCTGCCAGTAAGGAAGCCACTTTAAATTAGATGCCGGGAGGAAGAGAACGCCTAGCTAACTTCATTACTGCTTATTATACATAATGTCTAAAAAAAGAAGAAACTAGGGTATTATAGGCTCAGTTAATATAATTCATATCTTTAAAAGGGGACTAAGGGTATTACATATAATATATACATATATGTGTACTATATATGTGTGTAATGTAAAATATAGGTAATATGTGTATAATATATGTATATATTATGTGTATATGTATATATGTGCATATATGTATGTATATGTGTATAATTACATGTCTGTTATACATATAAATTATATATATAAGTACATATATACATATATAATATCTTTAAAAGTGGACTAAGGGTATTATATAAGGATATATTATATATGTATATGTTATATATGTATATATTATAGGCATAATACATATATGTATTATGTACATATAATGTATATATACATAATATATAACAGATATACAACACATATATAATATATAGCATTAAATATATGTATATATGCCTATTATAGGTATAGATTGTGCCTATTATATATATTCTTATATAAATACACATATACAGAATATATCCTTATATAATAATACCCTTAGTCCCCTTTAAAATATATTAGTTATGATATATTTGCTATAACAGTTAGAGTAACTCTCAGAACAAAAACATATCCTTCATACCTACCAAAAGACACATTAGAAAAGAGGAGGTGTGCTTAGAATATATGAAATAATTAAAATTTAACATTTAACATTTAAACAGAGGAGGAGGGAACAAAACAGACCATACTGGAAAAGACCCTATCTATAAAGCCTTGTACAGGAGGACCCCTCAGAGTATCTTCCTGGTTGATGTTTTCTTGTAGAGTGCTTATTAGGAGTTTTTGTCTGCTAGTTTTTGCTTATTAGCTTTTAACACCCTTAACTATAGAATCCATGAATCTCTAAATGCTCTCATTTCCAGCTGATATTTATATGGAAAAATTAGTATTTGAATCCCCAAAATGTAGTATAAACTCTTAATAAAATGTGTGATAAAAGTTTCAAGTTACATTCCAAATTCAACACATGTCAAAATCATGTGTAGGCGTGCTGACAGTCACATGCAGGCGTACTGACAGTGTGAGGTGTGAGTGTCTCACGTCTTGTGAGACCATGTTATTGCATTAAAGGCAGTCATTGGTCAACAGCCATGTTAACTGTTTGGTCACCAAAAATTATTTTAAATGCAGTTTACCATCTAATGCAATCTGTGCTGGGTAACATGTTATTTATAGGTGCATTTACTGTGTTTTGGTTGGGAATTTGAGGTTTCTTTTCTTTTCTTTTTTTTTTTTTTTTTTTTTTTTTTTGAGGTGGAATCTCGTCTGTCACCTAGGCTGGAGTGCAGTGGTGTGATTATAACTCACTGCAACCATGCCTCCCAGGCTCAAGCGATCCTCCCACCTCAGCCTCCCAAATAACTGGGACCACAGGTGCGTGCCACCACACCTGACTAATTTTTGTATTTTTTGTGGAGATGGGGTTTCGCCATGTGGGCCAGGCTGCTCTTGAATTCCTGGGCTCAAGTTATCCGCCTGCCTTGGCCTCCCAAAGTACTGGGATTACAAGTGTGAGCCACCGCACCTGGCAGGAAATCTGAGGTTTCCTATGGTGAATTTAAAAAAAGGGACACAGGCCTGGGGAGTTCTCCCACAGAACATCACTCTTCAAGGACACAAGACTGACAGTAAGTAGAGGATGCTTGTATACAGAAAGATAAAACGACACAAGAGAATGGAGACCAGACTTATCATTATATGAATAAACGGGCTTACTCAGTTTAAACTGGACTTACATCAGCCATTGAGAGTAAAAGATTTTTCAGGTGGATCTTCAAAGCTGTGAAAAATTAAAAGGATAGGCAGAGAAGTATCAAGCAAATGAATACACAGAAAAACAGGGGCTGTGATCTTATCAGACAAGTGCTCAGGCCCAAAGCATTACTTAAGACAAAGACAGGCCATGCTAAATGCTAAAATCCCACAATGAAGAGAGAAGTTTTGAAAACCTATTCACGAAACCATATAGCAACCATCTTTACGAAGCAGAAACTGCAGGAAATCCAGGGAGGGAGAAACACGTTAATGACAGGTGACTGGAAAACACCTCCTTCAAGCCAAGACAGATCTGGACACAGCACTGGTAAAAGTGACTGGAGATCTAAAATATAGCAAGATAGACCTTAGAGGTTTTTATCAAGCCCTGAACCCCAACAACAGTGAGTATCTTTTTCAGGTGCAAATGGGACCTGTCTGAAAACTGACAGCTTTGAATGCCATGAAGAAAACCTTGATATTTCAAAAAGAAAAACCCCAGAAATCAAAACAAACAAAAAGCAAATAACATTCTCTGTCTATAATGAAACAAAACAGGAAATTGATAAAAGAAAAAAGTTAAACTTTTGGGTCCAAGAGGAAATATTAATAGAAATAGAACATAAAAGTACATAAATTCTGGCCGGGCATGGTGGCTCAGACCTTTAATCCCAGTACTCTGGGAGGCCAAGGCGGGCGGGATCACTTGAGATCAGGAGTTCGAGATCAGCCTAGCCAACATGGTGAAACCCCATCCCTACTAAAATTACAAAAATTAGGCCGGGTGTGATGGCTCATGCCTGTAATCCCAGCACTTTGGGAGGCCGAGGCGGGTGGATCACGAGGTCAGGAGATTGAGACCATCCTGGCTAACATGGTGAAACCCCGTCTCTACTAAAAATACAACATGGTGAAACCCCGTCTCTACTAAAAATCAGCCAGGCGTGGTGGCGGGTACCTGCAGTCCCAGCTACTTGGGAGGCTGAGGCTGGAGAATCACTTGAACCTGGGAGGCAGAGGTTGCAGTGAGCCGAGATCATGCCACTGCACTCCAGTCTGGGTGACAAAGTGAGACTCGGTTTATTTATGTACATACAAATTTATGTACACACAAAAGTACATAAATTCCTGGAAATAGCAGTAATGATGACAGGACATATAATCTATGAACACAGCTTAAATAGTGCTTTGAGGAAGTTCCATTACACTAAATAATCAATAAAAATGAAAACAAATTAAATAGACAACTTCAAAAGCAAGATAAAGAACAACAGAAAACCAAAAGAGAATAGAAGGAACTAATAAGCAGAAAAAAACTTAAGGTGTTAGAAAAAGCAGAAATGAATGAGTGAATAATAATCAGACTTTTTGAAAGTTTTCCTCCTTTTTCAATGCGCTGGAATAAATTAAGCAATACTGGAATTGTCCGATTTTTAGAATTTCCCCGTGATTCTAATGCAAGTAAGATCAGTTTTAGGAAATTACATTTTCCTAGAAAATTGTCCATTTCTTCTAGGTATTCAAATTTATCTGCATAGAGTTGCACAAAATAGTCTTATGATTTATATTAATCTTTAGAACATAACTTATGTTGTAAAGATTAATTGTCCATTTTTATTTTTTATTTGTGTTTGTGCTTTCTCCTTTTTAAGGTTAGCTATTGATTTTATTGATTTTTCAAATTATTTTTAGACAACAACATTGACACCAAACCTTACAAAGGTAACATACAAAAAAGGGAAATACACTGACCAATCTCATTTAGGAATAACGATATAAAAAATCTAAAATAAAATATTAACAAACAGAACCCAGTTATGCTAAAAACATCATATATCATGACTAGGTCCAGCCTATGCAAAGGTAGCTGAAGACTAGAAAATCCATTAATTAAAAGTTTAATTCAGGGGCTGGGTGTGGTTGGCTCATGCCTGTAATCCCAGCGCTTTGGGAGGCCAAGGCAGGCAGATCATTTGAGATCTAGAGTTCGAGACCAGCCTGGCCAACGTGGTGAAACCATGTCTCTACTAAAAATATGAAAATTAGCTGGGCTTGTTGGCACACGCCTGTAATCCCAGCTAATTGGGGGCTGAGGCAGGAGAATTATTTGAACCCAAGAGGCAGAGAATGCAGTGAGCCAAGATCACGCCACCGCACTCCAGCCTGGGGTACAGAGTGAGACTCTGTCTTGGGGGAAAAAAAAACAGAACAAAACAAACAAAAAAAACCAGTCAAACGAAAAATGCAATGACACTTAAAAATGAAAACAAAACAGTCCCAGCAAACTGAACTTTGCTCCTAATAAGAAAATACCAAAATTAACCTCTGTCCTTGTAAAAGGGTAATGAGTACTCCAGTCACCCACGTTATGGTATTTATTTATTTATTTATTTATAGACAGAGTCTCACACTCTGTCGCCTGGGCTGGAGTGCAGTGGCACATTCTTGGCTCACTGCAGCCTCCGCCTCCCAGGTTCAAGCGACTCTCCTGCTTCAGCTTCCCAAGTTGCTGGGATTACAGGCATCTGCCACCATGCCCAGCTAATTTTTATACTTTTAGTAGAGACAGGGGTTTCACCATGTTGGCCAGGCTGGTCTCGAACGCCTAGACTCAAGTGATCTGCCCGCCTCGGCCTCCCAAAGTGCTGGGATTATAGGCTTGAGCCACCGCGCCCGACCACAGAGAGGCTTTTGAAGAGCACTGGCGTCCCACCCCCAGGGCCCAGGGCAGTGTGAAGGGCTCCTGCTGCCCCGCACAGTACCTTCTGAACAACGTGAACAATGACTACAATGGATTGATATTCACCACGTATAGAAAAACCCACAAGTTTGAGTTGCCTTTGGAGGTCTCAGGGGCCCAACTTGTCATTCTGAAAACATATAGAACAGAGCACTGATTCTGCCATTCCTGTACGAACTGCAATTCAGAATAACCAGAAAGCTGAAGTACTTCATATAGCATTTCAGATAACTGAGGAAGAAATGACAAATTAGAAGAATCACCATTTTGCAAACCCTGATGAAATAACGAAGGCAACGATCATCAGTGGATGCTAAAACATTAAACAGTTTATCTCTTTTTTTTCTTTTTTGAGATGGAGTTTCCCTCCTGTGGCCCAGGCTAGAGTGCAATGGCACGATCTCGGATCACTGCAGCCTCCATCCCCTAGGGTGTAGTGTTTCTCCTGCCTCAGCCTCCTGAGTAGCTGGGATTACAGGCACCTGCCACCACGCCTGGCTAATTTTTGTGTTTTTGGTAAAGACGGGGTTTCATCATGTTAGCAGGCTGGTCTTGAACTCCTGACCTCAAGGGACCCACCAGCCTCGGCCTCCCAAAGTGCTGGGATTACAGGTGTGAGCATCCACGCCCAGCCAAAAAATTTTTTAAAAAGTAAAATTTTTTTAAAAGGTATGGATGAAATAAGATTGGCAAAATTACATTAAAATTACTGAAATTGGAGGAGGGGGTACATGGAATTCACACTCTTTTTATAAAAATTGGTATTTTTAATAATGAAAATTTTCAAAAAGAAAATGAGTACCCATGGCCACACTGTGACCCATTTTTCACCTCCAGGTGCCCATAGTCATCCCTGTCTTGGTGACAATCATCTCTGTGTTTTTGATTCTGGCTCCAATCATCAGCAAGCCCGCATGGGAGTACCTCTACTGTGTGCTGTTTATATTAAGCGGCCTTATATTTTACTTCCTGTTTGTCCACTACAAGTTTGGATGGGCTCAGAAAATATCAAGTAAGTACCAACAGAAGGGCCACCTGGCTTCTGTGAGGTGCAGGCAGGCGCAGTGTCCTCACCTGTCCTGACTCCAAGACCTCTGTCACAGTGTCTTACCCTGCTGGCAGATCTCCCTCGTCCCAGGACAACACATGCCCACGCCCTCACTGGACACCTCTGGGTCCACCCTTGGTTATTTTGTTCCCGTCAATTACTATAATAAGTAGGAAGGGAAAGCACCATTTTCTTTTCTTTTTGGAGACACAGTCTTGCTCTGTTGCCCCGGCTAAAGTGCAGTGGCATGGTCATAGCTCACTGCAGCCTTGAACTCCCGGGCTCAAGTCATCCTCCCACCTGGGCCTCCCAAGTAGCCTGGACCACAGGCACACACTACACCTGGCTACTGTTTTTAATTTTTGTACATAAGGGGTCTTGCTAGGTGGCCCAGACTGGTCTTGAACTCCTCGGCTCAAACGATCCTCCCACCTTGGCTTTCCAAAGTGCTGGGACTACCGGCCTAAGCCACTGTACCTGGCCGTTTTTCTTTTTTGGAGACAGTCTCACTCTGTTGCCCAGACTGGAGTGCAGTGGTGCAGTCTCAGCTCACTGCAGCCTCCACCTCCTGGGTTCAAGTGATTCTCGTGCCTCAGCCTCCTGAGTAGCCACGCACGGCTAATTTTTGTATTTTTAGTAGAGATGAGGTTCGTCATGTTGGCCAGGCTGGTCTCGAACTCCTGACCTCAGGTGATCCACCCGCCTCAGCCTCCCAAAGTGCTGGGATTACAGATGTGAGCCACTGTGCCCACCTATTTTCTTTGAGACAGAGTTTCGCTCTTGTTGCCCAGGCTGGAGTGCACTGGCATGATCTTGGCTCACTGCAACCTCTGCCTCCCAGGTTCAAGAGATTCTCCTGCCTCAGCTTCCTGAGTAGCTGGGATTACAGGCACCTGCCACCATGCCTGGCTAATTTTTTTGTTGTTGTTTTGTGTTTTTAGTAGAGTGAGGGTTTCATCATGTTGGTCAGGCTGGTCTTGAACTCCTGACCTCAGGTGATCCACCCACTTCAGCCTCCCAAAGTGCAGGGATTACAGGCATGAGCCACTGCACCCGGCCCCATTTTCTTTTTAATTGCAAAAGACACACCAACGTTACTATCTCAGCCACTTCTCAGTGCAAGGTTCAGTAGTGTTAGGCATATTCCCACCATCATGCGCCTCATCCCAAAACACCATTCTCCTTTGCCTGATATGCAGACATCATCTAAGAGATCTAGCAGCATCACAAAGACACCCAAAAAGTCATGGCCTTGGCCTGGGGAACTGGGCCAGGGCCCAAGCCTTCTACTGCCAAGGGCACAGGGCTCACTCTTTCAGCGGTCCTGACCCTCATCAATTTCAGGACAGTTGTTTAAAAGTTTAGCTACATTAGCCACTTTCGCTTCTGAAAAAAGCACTTGTGTCAAAATACATCAAAAGAGACTGAATTACACCTTTAAAAAAGTTCATACAGGGCCGGGTGCGGTGGCTCACACCTGTAATCCCAGCACTTTGGGAGGCTGAGGGGGCAGATCACGAGGTCATAAGATGGAGACCATCCTGGCTAACACGATGAAACCCTGTCTCCACTAAAAACACAAAAAAATTAGCTGGGCGTGGTGGCGGGCGTCTGTAGTCCCAGCTACTCGGGAGGCTGAGGCAGGAGAATGGCGTGAACCCAGGAGGCGGAGCTTGCAGTGAGCCAAGATTGCGCCACTGCACTCCAGCCTGGCCGACAGAGGGAGACTCCGTCTCAAAACAAAAACAAAAACAAAAACAAAAAGTCTATATTATATTCACAATGTTTTATCCTACACAACAGATTCAACTGCAGGAAACCCCATTTCTAAAAGCCTTTAAGACTTTCTGGGCATCCTCATGGGGCGGTGAGGCGATCCGTTTCCTGGTCTTCCTGTCCCTGTCCCTGTCCCTCTCCCTCTCCCAGGAGCTCCTTGACGAGAGGAACTGGGCTGTGTGCAGTTTAACTCTGGCTGCAGCAGCCTGTAACAGCCAGTTAAGATTTATTAAGTGAATGTGATTAAATGCCTGCCTGTTTCTCCTGTTCAGCTTGTCTCAACTGGACAGTGCAGTCGCCCCTCCAGACAGTCCTAGGAGGTTTTTATTTCTATTCCTGCAATTTCGGGAGAAGACACAAACCAGGAAAGCGTGAAATCCAACCAGAAGGCAGGGAGCTGGCCAAACCCCGAGCACGGGGTCTAGATGACACATCACCAAAGACTGAGAACAACGTCACCCTCACCCAACTCCAGTGGAGCTTCTGAATTTTGGTCTAACTGCACTCATTTTTGACTCTTATTTCAGAGCCGATTACCATGCACCTTCAGATGCTAATGGAAGTGGTCCCACCGGAGGAAGACCCTGAGTAACAAGCTCCATCTCTTGTAGCCAAGTCAAAGCTGAATTTATTTTCTTAAGCAGTATTTGTGGTTTTTTCTTTCTGATTTTTTTCTTATGAATAAAATATACTCAGATGTTTAACATATTGTTATTTTTAGATATTCTTAGTTCTCTGGGTGGGGGTTCCAGAAAGGAGAAGTGGCAAGTGTTTGCTAAAGTTGGTGTCAGGTGAGATGTCACCTAACAGAAGGCAGACGCTTAGGGAAAGGCTGAATAAAAGCCACGATTACAGTGGCAACTATTTAACAAAGGGCACATCACACTTAAATGAAAGGCGTTCTTTAAACTCAATGTCAATAAGGGCTCTTCTTTTATATAAAATGGATGACATTTTTGCTTTGATTTAGATTTAAACAACAGTAAATTACTGGCCAGGTGCGGTGGCTCACGCCTATAATCTCAGCACTTTGGGAGGCCAAGGCGAATAGATCACTTGAGTCCAAGAGTTCAAGACCAGCCTGGGCAACATGGCAAAATCATGTCTCTACAAAAAACATTAAAAAATTAGCCAGGCATGGTGGTGCACTCCTGTAGTTCCAGCTACTCAAGAGGATGTGGTGGGAGGATGACCTGAGCCTGGGAGTTGAGGGTGTAGTGAGCCATCATCATGCCACTGCACTCCAGCCTGGATGACAGAGACCCCAACTCTAAATAAATATGTAAAAATATTAAAGTATAAACGTTTATCACCCACTCTCCCCTACCCTAAAAGTACTGGCACCCCTGTGCTGAACCCGTGATGTGTGTGGCATGTATCTGCTAGGATAAATGGCAAGACCTGAGCCTCCGTCCAGAACTCTCCACAGCTGATGTGCTCATCACGAGGGTCGCCTGTGTTGCCGGTCAGCATTGCTGGCTCCCCAGCAGCCTTCACGGGCGTTTTAGTCAAACCAGAAAGTGTGGTGAGTAAAGTTTTATTTTGTGTTTGGCATTCAGGGAAAGTACTGTTTAACGTATGTAAAAAGCAACATTTCTGTGAAAACACTGAAATTTTATTGATGATATGCTGCAAAAGGCAGCCATACCACAACTAAGTATGAGCGATTTTAGAAGCATAGAGACAAAGGCACTTTCACCTTGCATTTTAGGTATTTGCCCAAAACTTGAAATCAGACACATTCACAGCAGTACAGAAAACCAATTACGAATTGTTCACATAATAGCATCCAATATCCTATAAAATGTTAAAGAGATTCAGATATTAGAACGTTTGAATGTCTGAAAAAAGAAACAGATCTAAGCACGCAGTTGTCCTCCCTGCATTTTCACACGTGCACAGGAAACACAATGTCACTAGCTATTATCATTTGCTATGTTGTACTAAAGAGACTCGGCGCACCCGGGTGTAAACAGCAGGCAGCTGGTGCGCACGGGAGCCACCGGACGGTGGCCTGGTCTCTGCCCCCAGACCTCCACCAACAGGGCAGCAGCCACATGCAGAGAAATGGACACTGACATGGGTGTTAGAAGAGCTCCACAGTCAAAACCTTTGCCAACAAAACCACCAGAACTTTCTACTTCCCAAGAGCCTGTCCAATTTAGCTACGAAAAAGGAAAATCACCATCTTACTTTATGGGCCGATTTGATACCTGCCAGTCACCCTGCGAAGGTCACAGCAGTGACCTGGGCACACTCCCAGCAGCTGTCCTGGCTGCACAGCGTGTCCTCCCAGGGGAGGCCAGGGCTCTGAGCCCCCATCACGGAGCCACTGGGCAGAAAGACTGCCCCACCCAGCAGCACTCGGTGGGCGCTCCCTGAGACAAGGCCAGGCCACACAATGAGGGGCTGTCTCATTTTACAGATGAGAAAACTGAGCCAGAGTGTGATCCAGACCTGCTCACAGGACAGCTTGATGACAAAGTCCGCCTCTAGTTCAAGCAGTGGCTTCTGCTGGGACATACATGAGCCTGGGCATCGGCACTTTCTGGAGCAAAAAAAACAATAATGATCTTGGGGCCGCCACACAACACTCATGTTCTATCCGAATTCTCTTCCATTCCGAGGCGAAGTTCAGAAACGGACACTGAGTGCGCGGGACTTTTAACTTCCCAACAGCTCACATTTCTCGCGTTTCACTCAACAAACCCAAAGCACGAAAGCCAGCCAGCCTCTGGGTGTGGCCATGACTAAATACACTCCTCCCCTAAACCTGGTGACCCTGGGTGCTGCAGCCACACGCAGATGGGGTGGCGAATGTCTGCAGGGCTTACAACATGTAGGTGTTCAGAGGTCACCTCCAGGCACCCCATAGGCCCTTGTGAGTTTCCACTAAAAAGCAACTTTTGTGCCATTTGCTCAGGACCCTGCAGGTCCAAGGGATTGTTTAGAACCAGTAGCTTCACCCCGGAAAGCCCTGGGTCTTACTGAGCAATCCGATTTCTATCCTTGGACTCTCTCTTCATCAGAAGTCAACTCACTCTGAGGAGCTGTCACTATCCAAGAACGCCAACACTATCAATTCACACAGATGGTTACGTTAAATCCCACTATCTCATGGTTGAAAGGGCTGGTTCAATGTTGCTGAGTGTAAGTGTGAAACCTCAATTTATATTAGAAACCTCAATTTATATGTATAAGATCAGGTTTGTAGCAATGCATCAAACAGAGGTCTAGGTGAAAAAAAAAATGAATGGACTGACTCCAGACAGTGCATTTCACCACCCAGATGCACGTCTGCTCTGCCAGGGTGAGCGGCGAGAGGCGCGGACAGGACAGACAAGCCAGCAGGATCAGACTACATGTGCCGTTTCTCTGTGTCCACCCTCCTTTCATGGTCTTGTCATCAGTCTATTTTTAAGTCAATGAAGAATTTCTCACCATTACCAAGTCCAGCACCACAAGATGACAGTAATCATTTATCCTTGAGGTAAAGAAAGATTTGGTTGGCCGGGTGTGATGGCTCATGCCTGTAATCCCAGCACTTTAGGAGGCTGAGGTGGGAGGATTACCTGAGATCAGGAGTTCGAGAACAGCCTGTCCAACATGGTGAAACCCTGTCTCTACTAAAAATACAAAAATTAGCCAGGCATGGTGTCACATGCCTGTAATCCCAGCTACTCGGGAGGCTGAGGCAGGAGAATTGCTTGAGCCTGTGAGGCGGAGGTTGCAGTGAGCCAGGATCGTGCCACTGCACTCCAGCCTGGCCGTCAGAACAAGACTGTCTCAAAAAAAGAAAAAAAAAAGAAAGAAAGATTTGGTTATGACTGACTGTTTTCTTAACTTTGAAGTCACATGGCAATATCCATTTTTGTTCAACATCTTCCAGCCGCTCTTGAGGACATCATTCACTCTCACTGTCGTCATCCTCTGAAGTGCTGCAGCTACTGTCTTCAACCATCTCCGCCACTGTGTACGGCAGGCTTTTAGAATTCACTACTAAAGGAATAAGATATTATAACAAATAAGTTAAGTGTAGACTAAACAGCAAATCTTTCTTTATTTCCCCCCATTATTTGGGTCAATGCAGAAAAAAATGCCTTGGATTCCAGCTCCATGTATCTTATTTTGTATTTTCATTATTTTAGGTAAGAAATGAGCAGGTCAAATTGGTCTGCTTACAAATAATTTATTCTTCTAGGAAGAATATCTGTAGTGTGTTATTAAAAGGTGTGTTTATCGCCAAGGGTTGAAAAGTACTCAAACCAGAACATTTAGCACCAAGATCAACAAAGAGAAAACTAATTTCTCAGGGCTTGACGTGAACGACCCACTTCCACCACGGCTGAATTCCTAAGTGGGTGATGGTGTCCCTCACTGCCCTCAGGACCTACAACCCCTCCGAGAGTGGGCGCTCCACGCCTTACCCTTGGGGAACTGGCTGTCGTCTTCACAGTCTTCCCAGTGATCAAAATCAAAAGCCACGTTGGGGTTCTGCTCAAGAGAACAGCTGACAGTGAGTGGGTGAGTATGACACACTCAGGGTAAAGACCACCCTCTGAGCACATTCCAACTCACCCTCTGTCTGAGTAGGTGACACCATGCCTCCCTTCTCTCTTTGGCCAGAGTGATCACAGGCTCCTCGTTTCTAATTACACATTTGCACTCATCTTTCCTTATGTTACCTCGCAGCTCCAGATCAGCCAGGTAAAATCTGTCTCCCACCCAAGCACTGGGTTTATAAAAAGAAAGTCAGCCTTTTAAAATGCTAGAAATTATTTCTATTTTACTTTATATGACTATACATAAACCTACCTGAAAACGACTCTATCCCTGAAATACTGACACTTGCAGTCCTTTACATTCCTTATTCTTATCTTTAAGATGACGACATCTTCTTTTTGGAACCATTTTATCTGTGGGTGGAAGCTAGAAGAAGAGAGAAAGATCTACACATTCACTGATCTTATTTACTGGGTAAGGGATGCCGACTCCTCCACGCCGAGTGGACATACCTTTTCAGAGGCGGCTGTGCAGTTCTGCTAATGGAGGCACCTTCAGTGTTTCCAGATGAAGTTTCTGCACAAAATCAATGTCAGATTTTCCTACAGGTTATTTATATGTAACTCCATCATGTACACACATATATATACTTTTTTGTACCTTATGCAACTTCTAGATGAGAATCACGTAAGAGTGTAAATTAAGTAACCCTAGTATCTAGCTGCAAAGAACAGTTAGAAAAAATTAAAACCGTCACATAGGTAAACAAAATTTAAAATTTTTTATTTTATTTTTGAGACAGAGTTTTGTTCTTGGTGCCCAGGCAGAAATGCAATGGTGCAATCTTGACTCACTGCAACCTCCGCCTTTGGGTTCAAGCGATTCTCCTGCCTCAGGCTACCAAGTAGCTGGGATTATAAGCATGCACCACCACACTCGGCTAATATTGTATTTTTAGTAGAGACGGGGTTTCACCATGTTGGTCAGGCTGGTCTCGAACTCCTGGCCTCAGGTGATCCACCCATCTCGGCCTCCCAAAGTGTTGGGATTACAGGCTTAAGCCACTGTGCCTGGCATAAAATTTTATTTTAAAATAAAAACAGCCTTTGACAAGTATTAAAATTAAATGACCAGGAAGTAAAGTCACTCATTTGAAAAAGAACCTCATTGCAGTGGCTGGCCTTGGATACAAACATGCAGA